TATATAATATATAATATAACTAGTTAGACTATATATAAGCTATATAATATATAAAAAGTAAGATATTTTTTAATTAGTTAAGAAACTTTAAAAAGAAAGAGTTATTATAATTCTAGATATTTCTTTTAAAATATTTATAATAATAGAAATTAAATAATTTATTAAAATAGAAGTTTTTAAATTTATATACTTTAGTTAAAAGATTTAGAGTAACTAGTTATTTAAAATATATATTATTAATAAAATAAAGAGTTAGAATATAAAGCTATATAAAAAGAGCTATTTAGTTATATAAAGCTATAATAACTTAGATAAAAAAATAGTTTTTATATAATTACTAACTATTTAATATTATAATTAATATCTTATTCTTATATTAATACTATTTTTAATATAGATAGAAAGCTATATTCTAACTAGTAGAGATATTATATAAGCTTATTTATAATTTAAAATAGATTTATAATATATAATATATATAAAACTATTTAAATTACTTAAATAAAGCTATCTAAAGAGAATAATTATAAGAATTATAAAGCTACTATATAGAATAATTAAATTAGATATATATTAGTATATTATATACTATAAATACTTTATAATATATATAAAGATAGTAATCTTTAGTTATAATCTATACTTTCTAATTATAGAAAGTAATATACTTAGCTTTAGATTTATTAGAATATAAACTAATAATATACTTAGATTATTTAATAGGATATTTATTATAAAAAAAGAATATTAATTAGAAAAAATAAAATTTAAAATAAAAATTAGAATTTAATTTATAGAAAGAACTAATTTAGAGTTTAATAGTAGAAGAATATATTTTTATAGTATAATTATTAAGTTTATATAAAAAGAATAAATTAATATATTATAAATAGCTATAAAAGATTAAAATATAGAGAGCTATAAATTCTAAAAAGTATAAAATATATAGATTATAAGTATTATATAACTAGAGACTTTATATAATCTATTTATAATAGTATAAATCTAGTAGAATCTATTAGAGGAAAATATTAATAAGTTAAATAGAAGATTTATATAGTAAATTAAATATAAGAATTATAGTTTTATCTTTATACTATTTAATCTATATAATTTAAAACTATATATCTTTATAAATAGCTTATTTACTAATAATTAAAATATAAGCTTATAGATTAAATTTATTATTATACTTAGTATAGAGATTAAAATAGAAAATTAGAAATTTATATTCTAATTAGTTAGAAATATTTTATATTAGTTCTCTATAAAGTATAAATATATTATAAAATATAATTTTATATTAAAAATCTATAATATAATAGCTAACTTTAATATTAGTATTATAATTATAAATATATTTAGAATAATTATTTTAAAACTAGTATTATTAGAGATATTTCTTATAATCTATATAGATTTACTTTTATTATATAAATATCTTATTAAATTAGAAATAATAGTAAAGAAAAAACTTATAATTAATATAATAGCTTTATATTAATTATATAAGTATTATAAAATTATAAAAATAAAATAGATCTATAGAGATAATAACTCTATTAATATATTAATAAAGATTAAATTTAATATAATACTCTTAAAGCTTATTAAATTAAATAAATTAAGAATTAGAATATAAAAGAATATAAGAAAACTATTTAAAGTAAGTATAATTTAGTAAATTAGATTAATAGATTAAATTTATATAATAATTATTTAAAAGTATAAATTTAAATATATTATATATAAATAGAATATATAAAAAAGAAGTTTCTAATTAAAATAATTCTATTCTTTATCTATCTATTTATTTAAACTATTTATTTCTTTTTTTTAGATTTTATAATTTTATATATTTTTTTAGTATTTTCTAATTTTCTAATATATATAGTTTAGAGTATATAGAAAGATAATACTATATTAAATATTAAAGTTAGTAAGATTAGAAAATTAAGAAATTATTTTTACTTTTATTCTTACTTTTAAATTTATTAGTTTTTTTATAAACTATATAATATTTAAAAGTTAGCTTAATAGCTTTAGAAATAATAATATTATTTATAATATTTTAAGTAATAATTAAACTATTAAAAATATTATTAATAGTAAAATTATAAACCTCCTTCTAAATAGTAATAGTATATCTAATTATAATATATACTTTAGTTTATATATAGATAAACTTTTTAATAATTCTATCTAATTTAATAAAACTATATATATAGAGACTAAATTATATAAAAATAATAGAAAAATAAGAGAAATAATAATATAAATATTATTATTCTTATTATAATATATATACTATATTCTATTATTATTATAATTAAAATAATAATTATTATTCTTTCTAAAGATAAAAAACTTATTATATATTATATATATATTAGAATACTTATTAAAACTAAATATTAATTATAAAAATAGAAAATAAAATAATAAATAATATTTATACTTAATTAGAGTAGATCTTTTTAATTTAATTTTTCTTTCTTTTAATTTTTACTAGTTTCTTCTAAGTATTTAAAAGTATTTTTTAATATTATTTAGTAAAGATAAATAAATAAGTAATTATTTTAAAATCTATTAAATAAGTATATCTAATTAAAATATAAAACTAAATTTATTTTCTTTAATAGTTTTATTTACTAATAAAAATAAAGAAATATAAATAAAAAAGATAGATATAATTAACTATTTTTTTTTAGAATAAGATTAGTTATAAAACTCTATTTTAAGATATATAGATCTCTATATATAATATAATTAGAAAAGAAATAATAACTATTCTATATATAATTAGCTTTAGAATAATATTTTAAAATAATAAGAATTATTATAAAGATATATATATAATAGAAAGTAGCTATATAGAAAAAGAAAAAAGAGAAATACTTAATATTTTAAAATAGAAATTATTATAAGTAGAATATATATTTATAATTACTTATTATTAGAATAATTAATTAAACTATAATAATAAAGTAATTTAATAATAAAGTATATATACTAGTATAATAAGTTTAAACTATAATATATATATATATATAATTAAATAGTATAATATTTAAAAAATATCTTTTTAATAAAAATATAAGAAATTAGAATTATATATATTTATTTCCTATATTTATAGAGATTATAAAGAAACTTATAATAAAAAGAGCTATTTATATAGAATAAGAAAATAAAAAACTATCTATATTAATATACTAAATATCTCTAACTAGTAATTACTAGCTATAAGCTAGATATAGAGTAATTACTTAGTTATAACTATTCTAGAACTAGCTTTATAATTAGCCTAGTTCTATAGTTAGAATAATAACTTAATTAATAATCTTTATAATCTATCTTATTTATAGTATATATTTTAGAAAAGCTTTCTAATAAAAGTCTAAATAAACTTCTAGAAAATATAGATAATATTATAATAAGTTAATTTTAAAAAATAGTAGAAATACTAGTTTTTCTTATTAATAACTTAAGATATATCTATAAATAAAAAGCTATTCTTTTTCTTATAATAACTATAGATATTATATTTAAATTATAAATAATTCTTAAAGTTAATAATATTACTCTCTATAAGCTTAATAAACTATTTTAAAATATTAATAAAAATTAAATAAAATCTATATAAAATTAAAATATTTATCTAATAATAAAATTTTCTAGTATAATTAAAATATTTATCTAATAATAAAATTTTTTAATATAATAATAATAAGTATAATAAGAGTTTCTTATAATAATCTCTTTTAAATAATTAATAAATACTAATATATTTAGTTAGTTATTATAGATATATACTATATAGAGAGTAGTAATTATACTTTATAAATAGATAAAATATTAGTAATTTTAAGAGAAGAATAATTTATAATTTTACTATATAGTAAAAATAATAAAATTAATAAAATCTAAGAATTCTAAATAATAATAGAATAAATTCTTATTACTACTATTAAAAGATAAAAAAGAATTATTTAGTAAGCTATTATTATTACTAATATTACTAATAGAGTTTAAAAATAAAATAAACTCTTAGTTATTATAATTACTTTCTAACTAAAGAAAAGAGAAATTATTATTTAGATCTAAATTTAGAAATAATTTAAACTCTTAGAATTAAATAGATAAAAAATTAAAAGATTATATCTCTATAGTAGAAAAAAAAGTATTTAAATTATATTTAAACCAGCAGAGTTTCAAGATCTGTATGAAAGTAAGTTAAGTAAGTAACTTGAAGCTAAATCGATGATCGGCTGGACACATCATATCTTCAGATATACGTGCGCAGATCATAGCCATTCATCGCTCGATGGATTGCCGCTATCTACGACATGGTCATCGTGAACGAAAAGAGGCCGTCATCAAGGTAACGAGAGCCGTCACGGAGTGGGTCTCATTTGTGCTCGCGAGGTGAAATGCGAGGATACGAGACTGGTCTATGAATGTTGTTCTAGACTTGCACCGAAGGCATGTTCAAGCCCATCCACTTTCACGTTGCGACCTTGAAATTGCCACTGCGTGGACAGAAGGAGTGGCAGCCAAGGCTTTCGGTGGCTGGTTCCCTGTTCCGCTATCAATCTTTTTGGCAAAGAATTGGTAGTACAATATAATCTCACCAGGCTAATCACACCCCGAGCTAATATTCAGTTTCCGAGGGTTACATTGAAGGATCCACGTGGCACCATCCTGCAAGATATCTCTCTTCTGGCGAGTGTCTTACTCAGCTCAAATAATTTCAAGCTTTCTTGTACCCTCGCATAAGATAGCAACATGGAGGTCAGATGTAGATAGTGCGACGTGGTGTCTTGTGATAATGCAAGCATTGTGCATATGCGTGTGATTCAGCCACGGTGCCATGCGTCACAAAAGTCCATGGTCCGGCCTTCCCTGCCCTTCTTTTAGCCACGACCTCAGAATAGGTACTTATCTGCCCACTGTGATAATTCTTGAACTTTTTCTCTGTTACTTTGCTTTTTGGTTTGATGGAAAGAATGGATCTTTCCGATAACAGGGGTCCAACCATTATCGCTGTTGGCTATTCGACATGGGCAGTAGCCATTGCCACTCTTGTGCTACGTCTCGCGAGTCGAAAAGTCAGAGGAGTCAAGCTCGGGATTGAGGATTGGCTCATCTTGGCGTCTATTGTACGATGAATTGTTTTTCTCCCAACTGATGTATTCGAGCGCTAACTTGACTATATTATTCTAGCCATTCTCTTTAGTTCACGTAGTGTTCTTCGCCAGCTACGGTGCGTTCAATTTCTCTTCCAGGATTATTGAAAAATGTCGACAGGCAAATAGCATACACCAGTGCTAACGTTCTCTACTTTAGGCGTCCAGAATGGATTTGGCAAACATGTTTTGGCGAATAAGATAGATTCGGTAAGAAACTGTGCGTTTGCACTCTTCATTGGCGAAGTATGCTACATCTGGACACTCTGTCTGGTCAAATTATCCATCTTGGCCTTTTATTGGCGTACGTTTGGTATTGAGAAATCCATCCGGATCCCTATCATTGCCATTGGGGTCATCACTCTCGTTTGGGCCGTTGGGGTAGTAAGTAAATAAATATATCGAAGATTCAACTAAATGAAGGTCTGCTAATACTGAGTGTGTATAGTTCCTCACTTCGATGTTTAGGTGTCGGCCCGTGCGCGCGAATTGGGAACAATACAATCTTGTCCATCCTATGCCTAAGAGCGAGTACGTGTGCGATGTGGAAAGATTCCACTTGTACTACGGAAGCGGAATACCCAGCATCGTGACCGACTTCGCCGTGGTCGTCCTCCCGACACCCTACATCTGGAAGCTCCAGCTCCCAAAATCACAGAAAATCGCCATTTCCGGCATCTTGCTCGTTGGTCTCTTGTTAGTATGCCGAAACCTTATTCTCATTGCTCTATTTTTGACACGCTAGAAAGTGTTACAGCTGTGTCAATTGTACGACTTAAAATGCTTCTTGTTATTCAATCAAAGAATCTTGATGTGACATGGAATGCAGTCGATGCCATAATTTGGCAGTTGGTAGAGCCAAACGTGTCCATCATGTGTGGTATGTGCCCATTCCTCAAAAAATCTGGATAGTTCGGTCTCGATTGACTTGTATGTTAATTATTATCATACAACAGCCTGCGTGGTGTTTATTAAACCCATCCTGGGTAAACTCGGTGAAGCAGTCAACTTGTCCAAACTCTCATTGTTGACAAGTTTTGTATCGTCAAACATGTCAAAGGGGCAGTCAACCACTTCCGCAGCCTCCGCAAACCGATGGTACGCCAGTGGTCAGGACACCGAGAACATATCAATGAACGACCGCCCTGCTACGTATATGGCTGATGAAAACATTTTGCCCTACAGGCCAGAGCCGGGATATAACAGAAGTAGTGTTGAACTACAATCACTGGCAACAAAACCAAAACAATTCCCAAATTGATAGAGATATGGCCATTTAAAAATATTAGCCCTGCTTATATAATTTCATATCATAGAATTCTTTTAGTTTTACTAGTTGACCATCTTCTATTAATGCTTGATCTAGATCATAAATCTCGATAAGTATAATACCGCATATAACAAGGACCATCCTTGCTTTATCAATCGTATGGTCTAAGCCTTCACAAAGCTTTCACTGGAACTAAGTAACCAACCGACTTCGCTAATACCAACTCTCTCCAAAAAAAAAAGCTCTTAGATGTCGTTAGATAGGATTGATGCAACCTCGTCTTCACCATTTGATTTTCTTGTTGGGGAAAAATTCATCGATGAGTTCAAGGTAATAAGGCTACTTAGAAGTTAATACCTTTATCAGATGTGATGTGGTTGAATCACATACCTTAAGTTCATCTATGTCCGGGATACCGTTGCTTTTGCTGTATAGGTCGTAAGGATTAAATGCCTGCACAGCCTGCAGCAACTTGCCATCGCCTTCTGCCATGAAGGCACGGTAGGCACCTTCTTTATGCCACGGGTAAAACGAATGATATCGGATCATCGCGAGGGCCTCCTTAGGCAAAGTGCACTGGTCCTTTAAAACAAGATAGAGGTATTCGTCATGTCCCCACGAAATCAGTAAGTTTTCAATCCCGCAACCTGGCGTGTAGATTCCGTCCATTGTACTGAATACTGGGTCTTGGGCATCAGGATTAGCGGAAAACGTCTCTGGATAGATGCATTTAGGATCAAAGGCGCATCCGACGGGGAACGTATCTCCTACAACGTCCCACTGGCCTTCTGCCCCGTCGAAGAAGAGCATGAGCTTTCCAAGGTCATGGATGAGTCCCGTGAGTTGCATCCATCGAGGCTTACCATCATGACGAATGGCCTCGGCGCTCTGTAGTAGATGGTGAATCTGGGAGAGCTCCGTGTCAGGGTCGCTGTCGTCAACCAAGATGTTTAATTTTTCAATGGCCTCCCACACCGTAAGCTCCGCGCGGACACGCGAGGAAGAGTGGAACCGATTGCGGGACAAAAGGTTATATGCCACTGTCTGTTTGGTGTGTTGTTCACGATAAAAATTCTTGACACGATCGCACGCTGATTCGTACTGCCGGAACGCCGTTTTGTCTTTCTCGGAGTGAAAGGCCGGGCCAGTGGTATCATTTGTGTCTTGAGGTTGGTCCTGCGCGATTTCGCCCTCGAGGACGTGCACGTTATCTATCGCATCCGATACAGCATTGAGCGTTGCAACGGAGGGCATGGATTCTATGTAAGTAGTAGTTGTGTCCATGGTGGGCTTGAGGGTTGTTTGGATCTCAAAATACCTGTGGAGGTTTGTCTAACATAATAATATAAAATCCTCATATACATAACCTAGCAGGAGATTTCATGTGCTTATGCCACAAGTACATTCAATAAAACGTGTGTGTGTTGTACTATGCTCAAGGCAGATGAGCAAATAACTTCGGTCGACATGAAGCGGTATCAATACTACCGCTCTATTGCTGAGTCAACTCCTCCCAAACGGCTTGCTTGCTCTCTCGCGATTTAGAGTTTGGCCTCTCGCCATAGTGATAGAGTTGTATTGTACAAGAGAAGACTGATCGGCTAGTTGCAGCATCAACCGCACACCGATGTCGCCGAGCCTTCATCCTGTCAGCTCTATCGACAGTGTGCATGAGTAATTGCTAGATATGGTCGTTATGGATGTTTCCCAGAAGATAGACTGAATAGAAACGGCAATGTCCGAGTTCCTTATGCAATCAAATTACGAAAGAGGTAAGATCCGAGCCTTGATGGCAGCTCTAGAACCCAAATCTATTTGATAAGGTAATGCTCCGACTGCGTAAGACCAGCCAGTGCAGCTTAGGTTGGACCGAAAGTCAGTTCTCCATTACATTGCGGTGCGTCCGGTCACATCTTCGGATATTTGATGACGGGATCATGGTCATTTTGAACTGGTAAGATTGAAGTAGTGGATAAGAAGGAGTTACAGCATTGCTGATATCGAGTAATACAAGATAACATCTTATAGGAGAGTAGAATGCTGGGATGATAGGAATCACATAATGGAGTTATTTGTCGTATATGCGCGCGCCCCTAGCGCCTGTCAACTTCAATCAATTTCTCGCGAAGTTGTTGCATTAATGATCCTTAAAGCTTAAGTTAGGTCCAAACGCAAGATATCAGAAAATAAGAAACACATCGATTGGCTAAACTAGATTCTACCTGTCCTTGCTTATCATGATTGGCCTGCTGGTATGAAGGAAATCAGACGAGGAAGAGAGTCCAAGTCTACAGGCATAGGGTGTCATCGGCAACGAAAGCTCAACCTCCATCGATCAGGCTTTAATGCACATAAACAAGACGCTACTTCCCATTATGGACTCCGCGAAGCCCATATCATTCAACTTTGGCGGGATCTGATGTGGTCTTCCGATGGTACCCAGACTTGTGCATCTGTGCATGTGTCCACTGCAAGGCCAGTGCACTACCCATGATTAGAACGGTAAAAGTGGTGCAAATCAAGAGCTTTTTCCAGAGTGATAAGGAGGTGAGAAAGGGGTAAGGATACCTAGAAGCAGCGTTAGGGATAGTAGGTAGATAGGGTATCGTAGGAAACCTCACCACCCATTGTGAAAGAAGCAGTACTCAATCCAAGCCCAATAAGAAATGGTCATCAACAAGCCAAGACCCAGGGCCTGGGAGGCACTGACGAACCACGGGGGGCACAGAGTCATAAAATCCAGCACTAGGACGATGGCCGGTACCGCGTGAAAGCCAAAGTCGGGAATGAACGGAACTTCGTGCCCCGGAGGGACCACAAGACGCTTGTCGATGGCACGGCAACCCCAGTAAAGGACGCCTATGAGTAGCTCCAAGGTCGTCGCACACAGAGAGAGCAGCCCCCGCAGTGCGAGCAGCTCAGGTCTGGGCGTGACATCTGTAAGGATGCCGACTCCAAACGTGATGGTAGACATGGCGAGGCCAATTATGGTCAGGAACTGGAAGGAGCCGCCGAAGCCATTATGCAACGGGTTTGTGATATTAGGCAGCCAAACAAACGATGCAGTGAAACAAGCTAGACCTGAAACATGAAGTAGAATCCGGATGTATCGTGCCAGAGAGGATAAAGACCTCCTGGGGTCGTAGGCTTCCATCTCAAAGATCGATCGGTATGCTACTAATCGGAAGAGGGTAAGAAATACGGCAAGCAGATGCTCCCACGTACCAATATTGGTTTTTATTATGTCTTACTCAATACTCCTACTCGTACGACGCCAACTACATTTCGGCCTTTTACCCGGCCTATAATGCAGTGATTGCAGGATTACCGAATTACGAATCACGCGAAGGTTACCTAATCAGTATCGATGGTGGCTGATGGATTTGTCTGGATGCATGTTGAAGGAGGGGTGTTGAGGCAGGGCTTTGGCGCCTCCTGCAGCAGAACGGGTCCAGAATGCAGTGCTTGTAAGATGAAGATTACGTTGGCATCTCGTACGGAAGTTTCCTTTTCGGTTCCTTGACGTATTGGTCTGGGTGCATACGGAAGGGGAGGATTTAGGCAGCGCTTCCTGGAAACCAAATGGCTCGGTACTTTGGTATTCTCCAACATGTCGGAAGTCTATCCCGATCGGGCATTATGACCTGCATCATCCCCGATGCAGCTCAGGTTCTGTAATCAAGCGAGTAATTGGTGTTGGCGTTGTCGTCTGTGGCTGCCCGGGGGGTGTATCTAGGCTCTGTTGCGAGAGTCGGATGAAGACGCATGTGTTGGACTGCTAGTAATGATTGAAATGTGGTAACTTATTATTATTCATGGAGAAAGCTGAGGATCGTATACATGTGCGTCATAGAAGCTGCAGTGATAGATCCTTAGGAAGCCTCGATGTCCGGCAACCTTCATCAAAGGCCACTGCGAAAAAAGAAACACATGAGCACCAATCATTGGCCATGGCGTCGAGTCTTCACCACATCTCTCTTGGTCCGATGGACCACATGCCACCACCAACGCCTCAGCCTGGTATCATCTACTTCCGCATCCAGCCTGGCGTTACCAATGAACAGGTATTCGAACATCTAAAGGAGGGCCTGTATCAGACTTTCTTGCAAACACCATGGCTCAATGGAAAGATATACGCACAGTCACCCGACACCCCGGGTTGGCGACCTGGCCAACTTGAAATTCGCTTCAACCCAAACGTTGACGATAATGAAATGTCAAAGTGCTATCAGCTCCACTATAATGAGCTAGAGTCGTCTCTGTCCCTGGATGACATCGAGATGAGCGGGTTTCCCGTTGATAGCTTCGATGACGAGAAGCTGACTTGGGTGTCGTACAAACCTCAAGGGACCAACTTCAACGAGGGCTTTGAGGTCGTAGCGGCCCAAGCAAACTTCATTCCTGGCGCTTGCCTTCTGGTCCCCTCTGTACATCACGCGGCCTGTGACGCTATTGGTATGGGTGTCTTCCTCAAACTTTGGGGAGACCAGTGCCGCATCCTCAGCTTACGGAGCCAGGCCAGCTCTGAATCGATTACACTGCTTCCGCCCGAGAGCTGGGATCGAGCCCTCCCGGCTCGCATATGGCGCAAAGAAGCAACAGGCCATGCAGTAGCAGACGTGCCCCCTGAAACGTGGCAGTTGATTGGGCTGAACCCTACAGATGGTCTCAGCCCAGCGAAGAGAGTTAAAGTACCTCTCCGTGCCCAAACGATGACCTCTAGAATTTATTACATGCCAGCCACGGCTTTCAAAAAGTTGCAAGATGAGGGGAGAAAGGGCTTACAGGCGCCAGATGTCTCAGGGAACGACATTATCCTCGCTCTGCTCTGGCGTACTCTGATGCGAGCCCGGGTCGCTGCCCGAGCGGCCGACCGCGGTAAGATGGAGGATATGGACAGGCAAGTTGAACTGCAGACGGTGTGCGATGCCCGTTCTGACTTCTCTCATGAGCTGCCATCCTCTTACATCGGAAACTGTGTCTTCTATCACCGAACGACGGTCCCGCTGAGGGCTTTAATCGAATCGGGATCCCCTCTTTCCTTCATCGCACATTCTATCCGTCTAAACGCGCGCAATATCAACCATGAACAGATCATGGATGCATACATGTTGGTGGACTCGATGCCGGATCTGACCCTACTTCAGCCGTTGCGACATATGAGCATCGAGGACACATGGATGATGTCTTCTATGATCATGATCCCGGAGGATACCACGTGCTTTGGCGACAGTGTTTTCGCTAATGGGGGCAATCCTGTGGGATTTCGCATGCTCATGAGCAGTCGCAATCGATCTCAGGTTCCTGCCTGCTACGTAATGCCGCGGAAGAAACACGGGGGTTTGGAACTTGTCTTGAGTGTGTTTGAAGATGAGTGGGATTTTGTTGACAAAGACGAAGAATTTGGCCACTATACCATGCACATGGCATAATACACTTGCTAGTGATATGTGAGTATATACAAGCTAGTCCGGTATGAGACAATATTTTATACTATGACTGTCCTTTGATGATTTATAGACAGATCAGTTCTTTGCACTATATTCTACTAGACTATTTGATCTTGTCCAGGCTTTTTAGGGTATTGGGGAGCGCCAGAGTATGTACCACTTTCTAGAGCATTAACAACAGAGACTTTATCTTAACTAAAACTGGTGTGATTTATCTAGGATTGGATAGTTAGACATATGAAATCCCTAAAAAAAGGAGGAGTTGTGTAGGGGGTTCGGGGAGGGGTTACTGTAGCTGCCAGGGATTAGTCCCCCTCTATTACTTCATGGGTGGGCTGGACCGGGCCTGTGGACCGGGGTAGGGTGATTTGGGATCCTTCTGAGATGCATGACATATCTCTCTGACAACTGCAGCAACCCCCCAACTCTCATCCATGATGCTTACATGTACCCGGCTAGCGAGCACGCACGTCATTGTCATCCATGGCGGAAGGTGGCCCATGTTCCGATGCCACCCTCAAGTCTGCTCGCACATGCCAGTCAGACGCCAAGGATGGAGTTTCTAATCAGATTATAGCCTACGGGTAGGATCTATCACCAAGATAACGAACACGTGATTTGTAGGTGATCTTTAGTTGTTCGTCTTAAGTCAAATACCAATCTTCTGAGAAGACCTAGTCCCCCACCCCCGGGGATCCTTCCATCACAGCTTATTTACCCAGCTCTTCGTTCTATGCGAGGTTTGGTCTAGCGTCCGGCTGTAGTGGGATCATGTTCGGCACTTTTAGATACAACAAAACGACAGATGAGTACGAACACGTTGAGATCTCGAGCGAAGACAGTGTCGACGCTCGCGGTTACACGATAGCTGCGTGTGATCCATGCCGCACCCGAAAGGCAAGTCAAGCCCCTGGGTATTGGGGTTTCCCTCTGGGCGAGGTTTATGTGTATCAATCTTGAAAAGGGGCGAACCGATACTGGACCATTACTCACAACGATTACAGCTTCGGTGCAATGGGAACAAGAGTCGTTGCAACAGATGTTTGGCAGACCCATCTAGGAGCTGCACTTATATAGGTCGAAGGAGGACTCGTCAGTGCCCTACTCCAGGATCCCTAACTCGGCGTTCATCGACACAGAGCGGCGATGGGTTATTATCTTCAAACCTGGCAGAAATGGGAGGAACCCCCCCCAACGATGCCACTAGCTCTGCCGAATTACCTCCACTGCAGGTCATGGAGACCCAATTGACGCCCGTAAGCCTGGATATATCCCAGGATATATTCGATAACTATGAAGAAGACATGGGTGAGCCTAGCAATGACGAGGCCATCTCATTTTCAAAAGCACACATAAATCAGCGCATACTTTACAGCATGCAGACTTCAACCACGCCGTTTCTTTGGGCAGATCCAGGCTGTTTACTGTCATCAAATGAGGCCTCGACAAACCAACCTAACCGAGGGTTGACTTCGGAGTGCTTGTTCACACAACCCCCACAGCTATCAACTACCAGGTTGCATTTAACTTCGCTCCCGATCAATAATTCACCCTCAAGAAAACAGCTCGCATCGTGCAACTGCCTATGCAGTGTAGCGGAGCTTCTGGAAGAGAGATATCCTTGCAGAGATTCCTGCGAAATCGACACACTTCTTCAACATATCGGACAAAGCATTAAGATTTATTCGCGAGTACTGGCATGCGTGAGTTGCGATATATGTGTAGATCATGCTGCGCTTCTCGCAGCCACTGCAAAGCAACTCGTTCCCACAGCGGAGAAAGTGTCAGGCAGACTTCTGGTGCTCCAGGAACGCCGGAGTTATAACCACGATGAGCTCGGGAGCAGCCGGGCTGTGGATCCCTGCGACGTCGTGGTTGGTATTGGAAATTATACACTAGATTTACGTGATTTAAAAGCTCGGCTTCTCCACAAAGCCATTCAACTTCATTTTGAAGACCTAAAGAAGGCCTTGGGAAGTATCAAGGATCGGTGCGATCCAATGAGGGCTGCGTGGAGTATTCTCATCGAGGTAGAGCAAAAAGTTGACAACGTGATTTGGGTGATCGAGAATCTATCCCAGTAGAAGTTTAGCCGTGCTGGAGCTTAGGTAGGATTTGGAAGTGCTAGAGATCAATATAGCTACCATAGATAATCTCCATCTTATGAGTCTAGAGAATTCAAATGCGAAAAAGAATTACAACGGCCATTGTAGTAAATGATTTTAAGAGATCAACGCTCCAGCGAAGGGGTAAATCCCTGGATCTAACCGAGAAGCTGCTGAGTTTATCAAACTATGTGTCAGCTGAAAAGGTCACCGAACCCAATAAAAGATAGAGGAATAGATCCAAAATTCTATTTAGTCGGCCATATTACATTGATGAACATGGCTCACAGTCAGAGACACATAGGTAACACTAATTCCGAGTTCCCCAGGGCAACCTGAGCTCACGGATGCTCCAGCGCTGGATGAACACAGCTCCAATCATTCCAAGGCATGACAAAACTAGTGGGAGCCGCCATACATTGACAACTGACTCGTTCATCGCAGTAAGAACCGCTGCTTGAAACTCGGTTGGAAGTCCAGCCGCAACTGTATTAACGCCTCCCCCGAGGGCAGCATCGATATCTGGTTCTGGTATCCCGAGTTCTCGCAACTCTTTCGCCAGAGAGTTTGTGAACAGTGCCTGCCCAATAGATACAGAGGTTGCGCTGCCATATATTAATATATTAAGAGACTTTTGAGGAGCAGCTCTTGTATTACTCACCCAGCCATGGACGCGAAAAACGTAAGAAGTGTAAAGCCATATGAAATGTCGTTGTCGTCTAGGATATTTTGAAGTGCAACACTAGGACACAGTCTGCCGGCGGCAGAGCCAACAGCGGATAGAATTTGGTAGCCGGCCAATTTGGCCAGGCTGGTGTCCGGTCTGAGTGACGTGAATAATCCAGCACCGACAACTGCGGACAGAGACCCGATCACCGTCCACAGCCCAACCCGGCCAAACGTGGCCATAAGTCCTCCTCCTAAAATAGAGGCGGCACCGGTCGTAATGACCAATGGCAGCGTGTGGATACCCGACTGGATCGGCGAGTCGCCTTTCACTCCTTGGAACCAACTGTCGGTTCATCATCAGCACGGGACTAGTTTCTTTCGCAAGAACGAAACATCACCTACATCGGAAGATAATAGCTGAGAACGGCGGTTGTTCCATTACTGCAAATACAAAACCAGACGGCACTAAGGACGTGGAACTGGTGCATAATGCGGTTTGGGAGCATGGCATTGCCGCCGCCCTGATAAACCTCGGCTGCGATGAAGACCGTCATCAAGACACCAAAAACAACTAGCAGTGCTATAACGCGGCCATTGCTCCACGAGAATGTAACTCCTCCCCACTGTAGGGCGAGTAGAAGACAAACCATTGCAGGCGTGAGGATAATCAAGCCGGGCAGATCGAGACTCTGGACGAACCTTTGCCACGGTATGGGAATGGCTGGGCCCGTACGTGCTGGGATTTGGACAGAAAAATATAGCACGAGACATATGAAAGCACCAACTGGCAGGTTCAAGTAGAACTAGACACGGAATAAAGTTAGATCAGGTACTAAGAAGAGGATATTGGCTATCCAACTTGCATTCCAGCGCCAGGTAGCATTTTCCGTGAGTACGCCACCTATCAATGGACCGCTGCCCAGTCCCAGACCCATGGCGCCTAGGAATAGGCCAAAGAAGAAGGGTCGTTTCGGAGCAGGCGCCAGGAACGGGACCAAAGCATTATTGCCAGAGTAGAGACCTGCTGCTCCGAGACCTGCGAGGGCACGTCCAGCTATCAACGCCTGGGAGTTGGGCGCCGCGCCGCAGAGAGCTGAGCCCGCTAGGAAGACTACCATGACAACCCCATATGTTAAGCGGATGGGGTATCGGCTATAGACTTTCATAAAGGAGAGCTGGGGTAAGCACATTGTAAGAAAGTACACACTACTGTACCACCCGATATCCGACAACGAATCGAACTCATTGGAAATTTCAGGTACTGCGGTGGCAATGACGGTGCTGTCCTATTCTCGGCCATTGTATGTGAGCACATGTTTCTATCAGCCCTAGTAGAGATGAAAGTGACTAACCAAAGAGATGAGGAAGCCCACAAGACAGAGTGCGAAGACGATCACCCAAAACCTAGGCCCAGATGGGTACTCCAATTGTTGCTCGGTTTCTTGTTGGGGCTGGCCTTCGTCCCCAGCTTCTACCTTTTCCACTGCGACAGACTCATCAGATGTTCCCCCCGCTTTGGACGGCTGGTCACCAACAATTCTAGTACTAGAAGTCGGCATCATGAGCCAGGCTGATACAGAGCTTTGGTCTACGATTGATGCTGTAGTTTGATCACATTAAATTGATACAGAGAATATCTCAGGCCCGAGTAGGTTGGTGGACGATTGGGTATCATTGGACAGCGGGGTAAGGAGCTCCAATAGGTACAAGCTACAAAGATAACAAAGCAATGCATATATTGACAGTGTCATGCAGTAAGCACATGCCGCTTATTGGCGCAGTGTATCCCAAGCGAGGTACGTCCCCCCCCTCGTTTAGACGGCATGGGGACATTGTTAGACATTACTGGTGCACAAATTCAATCATTTGGGGTAACACATGAGGCCATCGGGTAGGATTCAATATCAGGATTCCGGGGCCTGGTCCCTGGGACTATCGCAAAACTCCCCACCTCAACTGCACACTCCCTCTCGCCACACACCACATCATGTAGCAGTCAGCCACGGAAAAACCACGCGGCGTTGTACTCGATTGGCTGGGCTGCAGAGAGTTATCTAACATCCATAGATCTGGGCCTCTAAACAGGTCGTATTTCGCCTTATATACAACTAGAATCAGCTAAGTTTACATATAATGTAACGTCACTGTTACCCCCACAGGGTCCAGGATAATTCGCTCGTCCGTGCAATGCAGGGGATGACGGTGAATCCCCCTAGGGAACTTTATTGTTGATGGTACAGCCCTGCTTCCCGGATCTTACCGTTTTAGGGAGATATTGTGACGAGGTCTATTTGGAAACATCCGGTCATCATCAACTTGATGACAAGCGCTTGCGATCCAGCTGCGGGCGCACTTCTCCGTGGCAGTGAATGTCAAGCTACAGACAAAAGCTAGTCCGTTGGTACGAGTCCTGAGGATTATTTGCGAAACGGGCCTGCTGAGGAGGGTTGATAGGCTGGTCGTCATATCTTATAAACCAGCAACGTGGATAGTTTAGAACATTTCTCATCCGAAAATAAAACCATTTCCGGAGGTGTTAGAGACCCATCACAGCACACTCTTCCTGTCTCACAATCGGAACCAACACGGACTCGAATAAAAAAAAATGATCAACTCTGGTCCTTCTCCTCGTGCCCAAGATGGCTATGGACCTAATTCGAGCAACGCCGATTCAGCCGGTCGGGGGCGGGCTGAGTTCCCAATCGCCATCGTGGGCATGAGTTGTCGTTTTGCCGGAGGTGCTACCAGCCCGGCCAAGCTGTGGGATCTCTGTAGAGACGGCAAAGACGGCTGGTCGCCTATCCCTGAGGACCGATTCCAGGTCGAGGCTTGGTATAATCCCGATCCTCAAGTAGTCGGCAGAGTATGTCGTACAATGTTGTTCCACATCTCATTGACAAAGGGTTAACATTCCACGGTATAGACACATGTCCGTAGCGGCTACTTTCTGAAAGAAGACATTACTCTTTTTGACTCGGCCTTCTTTAAACTTACTGGAGATGTAGCTAGCGTACGTTCGGCCCTGAAGTGACGATTATGATCGATTAATAGGCAATTTACTAAAATTAGGGATTCCGCTATTAGTCACTTGATCCCCAGGTTCGCCTTCTGCTAGAAGGAGTCTATGAAGCAACTGAAGATGGTACGTACATATGGATTTATCTACTCCTCCTTAACCGGCCAGATATGCTCCCAGAGCTTTACTCACACAATTCACAGCTGGGATCCCTATAGAGAATTTAGTCGGTTCAAATACTTCAGTGTTTACTGGGACCTTCAGTAAGGACTACTACGAGAATCAATCCCGAGATCCTGATCTCCTTAAGGATTCCATATCTGGAAACGGCACAGCCATGCTTTCCAACCGTATCTCGTTCTTCTATGATTTACGAGGCCCAAGCATGACAATCGACACGGGATGTTCGGCCAGCATGGTCGCCCTGAGTCAAGCTTGCCAGACCATTTGGGCTGGAGAGTCGGACCTCTCCATAGTGACAGGAGCCAATGCAATGTTGAACGAAGATATGTTCATCGCCATGAGTTGCTTGGGGTATGTTTGAGCTACCCTCACCTTGTTCCACAAACGTTGACAAGTTGTTAGGGCCCTGAGCAAAGATGGAAGATGCTTTGCTTGGGACTCGCGAGCCAACGGCTACGGCCGCGGCGAGGGCTCTGGGGTCCTTATACTTAAACCTCTCCACGCTGCCCTGGCGTCCGGCGATCGCGTGCATGGTGTCGTCAGAGCGAGTGGCACGAACCATGATGGAAAAACAACCACCTTCTCATCCCCGTCCATGGAAGCGCAGATTCGACTTATCGAGGCCACATACAAACGGGCAAATCTCGACATTACCGAAACTGGTTATGTTGAAGCACATGCAAGTACCATTTCATTGTGACCTTGTCCTTACGTGTAATCCTCGGGGCACCCGCCCAGAAACTCATCTGCATATCGTACTTGTAGTTTCACTAACACCTCCTCGGAGTATATAGATGACGGGCACACCCGTAGGAGATCCGATCGAAGCCGAGGCACTGGCTCGAACCTTTGGTCTAAGCCGCCCAGTCGACGATCCAATCCTCGTCGGTTCTGTCAAAACCGTAATCGGACACACAGAGCCGGTTAGTGGAATCGCGGCCATCATCAAAACTTGCTACGCCCTCCGGGATCGTGTGATTCCAGCGAATCTCAACTACGACGTCCCAAATAAGAACATCCCCTTGGTGGACTGGCATTTGAAAGTACCCACAGCGTCGACGCCGTGGCCTAAAGACAAGATGCTTCGTGCCTCCATAAACAACTTTGGTTATGGAGGTGCCAATGCCCAGTGAGAAGCCTTTGCATTTTGTCACCCCTTTCTCTCAGATCCTTTCGTGTCTTGCCTATCACTGCCTTCCCTCAAGTTACCCGGCGATCATTGCTAATGATCTTTCTTCATAGTGTCATTCTAGAAGCTGCGCCAACTACAGAGCCTCTGGTCGAAACCAACGGTACCACAAATGGACAGTTGAATGGTTACTCGAACGGGCATCATGGCGAAGAGTCCCTGGAAAATGGATACACAAATGGAAACACAAATGGACACTCTCATCCTGAGCGATCCTTTGTCTATATTCTGAGCGCAAAAGACTCCAGTGTGGCGAAAACCATGGCAAAAACGTTTGCTACACATATCCGCCAGGGTACCGAGAGTGGCCAGCTGATTAAAGCCAGTAATCTCGCTTATACTCTTCATACACGACGATCAAAGCTTCCCTGGATAGTTGCCGTCCCGGCAAGAAATCTAACAGAGCTTTCCAATCTCTGGGAAAGCCCGGCAATCAAGGCAACAAACTCGTCCCTCAAGCCAGCGAAGCGGATCGGTTTTGTTTTCAACGGCCAAGGAGCCCAGTGGCATGCTATGGGTAGAGAACTAGTCTACGCCTACCCATCATTCGGTGAGCAAGTCCGTGAGGCTTCTGAGATATTGCGCAATTACGGCGCAAAGTGGTCACTTTACGGTATGTTCTACTGCTTGCGTTATGACATCAGGTCTTTCTGTTTTTGATCACATGTTAACGTTGGCGGATGTATTGATCTAGACGAGCTGTTGCGCGACGAGGATTCTACACGCATAAACGAACCAGAGATCAGCCAGCCATCATCTGTTGCTCTGCAAATGTGCCTCGTCAACCTCCTCAAGTCTTGGGGTGTTACTCCCGCAGCCACGACCAGCCACTCAAGCGGCGAAATTGCCGCTGCATACACCGTTGGTGCGCTTTCTTTCAAAGAAGCGCTTGGGGTCATCTACTTGCGAGGACTGCTTGCTACGGAGCTGCAAAAAGTTGACTCTGTCCGAGGATCCATGGCCGCTGTTGGGCTGGGCCCTGAGGCAGCTGGGAAATACCTTGATAACCTTCCCCTTGGCCAACATGTGCTGGTGGCCTGTGTAAATAGTCCCCAGAGTGTTACGCTTTCCGGGGACTCGGATGCTCTTGATGAGGTCTTGAGTCGCCTAGACAAAGACGGCATATTTAATAGGAAGCTTAAAGTGCAACTGGCCTATCATTCACGGCATATGTCTCTCATCGCCGACAAGTATGTTGCCGCTCTGGAAGCTATCCTACCTGGCACGGCCAAGAGCTGGGATGATGGGGTGCTTTTCTCGTCACCGGTCACAGGCAAAATAATCACATCACCTGAGGTCCTGTCTCCTTCGCATTGGGCTCGCAACCTCACCAGTCCAGTATTATTCAGTCAGGCGTTCGAGAACATGTGCTTCAGCCCCAACGGATCATCCGTCGACCTGATCGTAGAGATTGGGGCTCATAGCACCCTAGCAGGGCCGATCCGGCAGATTCTCAAGTCCAAAGGCCACGATATCCCATATGCATCGTGTCTCAAGCGCCCGATTGACGCTGTCCAGACCATGCAGGAGCTTGCATGCGAGCTCTTGGGCAGGGGGTATCCAATCTCATTGGAATCAGTGAATTTCCCCGTAGGCACGGAAAAGTCCTCCACGTTCGTCCCGGATCTTCCGACATATCCCTGGATCCACACCACGAAACACTGGGATGAGTCTAGACCAAGTCGACAGTTTAGGAACAGGAAGACACCGCCTCATGAATTACTGGGCAGCCGGGTCACCGAAACTGGAGACAGCACCCATACCTGGCGAAACGTATTCCGCCTGTCGGAACTAGAATGGCTAAGAGATCACCAAGTCGAGTCTCAGGTCGTAGTTCCTGGGGCGGCCTACATCTCAATGGCTATTGAGGCAGCTCGTGCCCTCACAGACCAGTCGGAACAGACAATCCACGGATACCGACTCCGGGACATCGAGATCAAGAAAGCTTTGGTCCTCCCCGAATCGTCGCCTGTCGAAGTCCAGATTTCTCTTCGTGCATGTAATAACAAGGAGCTAGAGAATGTTGGCTGGTTCGAGTTTGAGCTCTGCTCGCGCCATACCGACAGCTCTTGGACCGAAAACTGCACAGGCTACGTCTCATGTGAGATGCAAAATTCCCCCAAGGCTGCCACAACACGGGAGGCTACACCACCAACCACCAGCGAGTTTCTGAGCCAGGCCAGTGGAGATGTTACCGATATCGATGTCGCCTCAATGTTCAAAAAGCTGCACAAAATGGGCATCCAGCATGGGACCTTGTTCCAAAATTTGACCCACGGCCGGTCAGCAGATGGCAATGGTGTCACAGGTTTTGCTGTTGCGGCTCTTGCATCTGCGGCCCGAGATTATGTGATACACCCAACAACCCTTGACTCCGTCTTCCAAGCAACCCTTTGTTGTACCTCAGCTTTTGAGAAGAGCACTGACATGATGCTCCCTCGCTCGATCCGTACTATGTTCGTGCCAAAATCGCTCAAGAGAACGGCGGGAGATTCACTGCAGGCGTTTACAAAGCTCGTTAGCCTTAACAAACGGGGGCAGACGTCCAACATATACGTAACGAACACTGAGGATGAAGACGTGCCCAATAGTCCGTTCTTTCAAATGCATGGCTTCTTCTGCCAGACGGTTCCTCGTGACCAAGATAATGAGACTCTCGAACAGGGGACGCTCTGCTCCAAGAGCTCATGGGAGCTAGACATTACATATAGCGTCCCCGCATACGTCAAAGAAGCCATGAAAGTCCCTACCCCAGAGAGTGAGATAGAGGCAGAGAAAAAACTTACACGAGCTTCGGTTTATTTCATTCATGATACCATTCGTGAGCTGGAATCACAACCCGTCGACACCAGCTCGTGGGCTTGGCACTATGTGCTCTTCTACGAGTGGATGAAGGCTACACTTGCTCTCGCTAACAGCGGGCAACTACGTCCTGGCAGCCAGACATGGACAAAAGCGACTAAAGGAATAAGACAGAGACTCTACGACGAGCTCGATTTTGGCAACAGCACAAGTAGGCTGCTATCCAGGGTCGGAAAGAATATGGCAAGATTTATACGTGGCGAAAGCACGCCCTTGGAGCTTATGATGGAAGGCAACCTGCTAAACCAATACTATAGCGAGAACGCAGGGTCTGTCCGCCTCTGTCATCATGCTGGCGTCCTAGCAGAGTTATGTGCTTCCAAAAGCCCTGGAGCTAGCATCCTAGAAATTGGAGGAGGCACTGGTGCATGGAGTAAGACAGTTCTCGAAGCCTTTGATGCCAGGGGCCAACGGGAAGGCCTGGGTGGTTCCTTGCTCGGCCGTTATACCTTCACCGATATTTCGCAAGGATTCTTTGCTGCTGCTCGCGAGAAGCTTGCGCCGTGGCAGGACATGATGGAGTTCAAGCCCCTCGATATCAGCGAAGATCCCGCGCTACAGGGATTTGAAGCTGGGACTTACGATCTCATCGTGGCGGCCCAGGTGCTTCACGCAACGAAGAACTTAGCCACCACACTCTCACATGTCCGGAAGCTGCTAAAGCCTGGAGGCAGACTCTTACTTTTTGAGTCTACCAAGGGCTGTCTTGATGAACAGGTGGTGTTCGGGGTGCTTCCGGGGTGGTGGCTCAGCGAGGAAGACGAGCGGAAGATGAGCCCACACGTCTCCACCAGGAGGTGGGATGAACTGCTCCGAGAGGCTGGCTTTAGCGGTATAGACTTTGAAATGGACGACTACGAGGAGCCAGATATGCAGTCTGCAAACACTATTCTTTCGACTGCCGTGTCTACCGAAGCGATACAGGTCCCGATTGCGATCGTACACGGGCCATCCCAAGCTCCGCCGCAAGCATGGCTATCGGAACTTTCCGACCGCATTCATAAAGAAACGGGGACGGTTCCTTCTATTGAGAGCCTTGACCAGTTACAGCCTCATGGGAAGATATGCGTGTTTACAGCCGAGCTTGAACACCCCTTTTTGGACGGGATTAGTGAGACATCGTTTGAGTTGCTCCGAAACCTCGTTACCAATAGTCATGGCGTGGTTTGGCTAACGTCTGGCGGGCTTGCTACTTCCGAAAAACCTTCCTTTGCTGCCGCTCAGGGGTTCTTGAGGACTCTTAGATTGGAAGATACTGGCAGGCGGTACATCCTCTTAGACTTTGAGCCGACGGGTTCATCTGCTGACCATCCATGGACGAGTGATAAGATAGGTTACATTACCCACATCCTACAGCGGAGCTTCAACGACGACCTCATTCGGGATTCAAGTATTGACAATGAATATTCTGTCAAAGAAGGTACGCTCCAGGTATTGAGGCTTATACCAGATAAGCTTCGCAGCCAGCTGTGCAGTGAGGGCGAGGTGGACGTAACGGCCGAACTTCAGCCATTCTTCCAGCCAAATCGGCCGCTTCGGTGGGAGCCAGCCAGTTCCGGGGTCTTGAGTGACATGCACTTCACTGACAAGCTCGACATTGACGGCCCCATGCCCAGTGGCTACGTGGAGGTCGCTGCCAAAGCCTTTGGCTTGAACTTTCGAGACGTTTTAGTCGCCTTGGGCCAACTAGAGGAGGACTTCATCTCACACGAGGTCACTGGCGTTATCACACGACTGGGTCCAGACACCGAAGATAGCGGATATCAAGTTGGAGACAGGGTTTGTTGTATGTCTGGAGGACGCTATGCTAGCGTGTCGCAGACGCATTGGATGACCACGGCTAAGATACCTGACAACATGTCCTTTGAATGGGCTGCATCGATTCCTGTCGCTTATGCCACTGCCTATCACTCACTCGTTCATCTTGCCAGGGTTCAAAAGAATGAATTCGTTCTGATTCATGCCGCAGCAGGAGGTCTTGGACAAGCCGCTGTAGTACTAGCCCAGCACGCGGGTGCAAAGGTTTTAGCCACGTGCAGCTCCGAGGCTAAACGAGACCTTCTAGCTTCTCAGTATGGCATTCCTTTGGATCATATTTTCTCCAGTAGAGACCCAAGCTTCGCCCCAGCTATCATGGAGCTGACGAATGGAAAGGGAGTTGATGTGGTGCTGAACTCTCTATCAGGAGCATTGCTGAAGGCTACGTGGGATTGTATCTCCCGTTTTGGTCGCTTCATTGAGGTTGGCAAGATCGACATTGAAGCTTCCAGACGCCTAGACATGTCGCCGTTCCGCAAGTGCACCACGTTCGCGAGCGTCGACCTTTTGCAGCTGAGAGAGTATCGGCCTGCCCTGCTTCGCGAAGCACTTTCAGAAGGCCTTCGAATCTGCCACGAACGAGCCCAAATACCCATTCTTCCCATATCAAGTTTTCCAGTCACCCAAATCGAAGATGCACTTCGTTTAATGCAGGCCGGTAAACACATAGGCAAGCTAGTTCTTGTGCCTGGCGACACGGATAAAGTCAAGGTCTGTATATCTTACACGCCCCGTTTCCACGACATTCACATGCTAACAAGAACATCTGGGTATAGGTAGTCTCAAATCTAAGGCCAGTCTCCCTGGCGGATGAAGACGCTACATACCTCATTGTAGGCGGCGTGACCGGCATCGGCTCTGCTATTGCAGAATGGATGATTTCAAGAGGAGCGAAGACTCTGTTGCTCGTCTCTCGCCACGCCACTACCCATCCCAACGCTCACCTCCTTCGAAAGCGAGGTGAAGCTGCCGGATGCAATGTTCAACTTCGAGACTGTGACCTATCGTATGAAGATCAGCTCCAAGAGCTCCTTATCGAGTGCTCTCGCACACTTCCCCCTATTCGTGGGGTTGTAAATGGTGCCATGGTATTGGACGTCAGTGAATATCTTGTCCATTGAAATATGTTCGTCTCATTAACACTATTATTCAGGACACAATATTCGAGCGCATGACCTACGAGCAATGGAACCATGCGGTTCGCCCTAAGATCAACAGTACTAAGAACTTGGACAAGCACCTACCTCAAGATCTATCTTTCTTTGTCTTACTCTCTTCGGTTGTCGGTGTGGCCGGGGGCACTTCCCAGGCCAACTACGCCGCTGGTAACACGTACCAGGACGCTGTTTCACGGAACCGAAGTGCCCGTGGCCTGCCTGGTGTGACCATCGACCTCTGTGCTATTCGAAAAGTCGGATATATCGAGAACCGGGTAGATGAAGGTGACAAGAGTGCCTTAAACCGCGCCAACAAGCTGGGAGTTGGCGAAGTCGACGTCTCGGTCGTCCTCCAGCTTCTGGAGGACGCTATCCGCCACCCAATCTCTAGTAGTCAGGAGAACAGCCAGGTTGTCATGGGCCTCACCGAGAATACAATGGATGCCATGGTGGAGAACTTAAACCTAATTCGGGAACGAAGATTCGGCACATTAAGACTTGCGAACCGTCGCCGTGGTTTACAGTCCACTGACACTGGGTCTCAGGGAAGCAAGAGCTCAACCGCCGTGCTGGCCAGTGCACTATCCTCTAGCAGCATTACTGCCCAAGAGGCGTCTGCATTGCTGGTCAATGCTGTGTCAGCTAAGTTGTCCGAGCTGTTTAGCATTCCGCTAGACGAGATTGATGTATCACTGCCCTTGTCGCGGTACGGCGTTGACTCGTTGGTTGCTGTCGAGTTACGGAATTGGCTAGGTAGCGCTGCCAAAGCGAAAGTCTCAGTCTTTGAAATTGTCCAGGGCGCTTCATTAGGTGAATTTTGCACGCTTGTAGCTGCAAGGAGCGAGTATTTATCTAGTAGCTAGTGAAAGAATCCTACCTTCCTTTCATATACAGCTGTCAGCCTGTCACAAAGTCTATATAAGAGGTCCGTCCGCACGACCAACCTACCCTAGACGATGAGTCGGCCTCCATATACCCTACCTAGATATAAACATAATCCTTGATGTAGTCTTATTTTAATCATGCTATATAAGTTTACTATAATCTGTGACTATCTATTAATTATTTATTATTACAATATTTAATATTTCAACAGCTATATAATACTTCCTTTGATTTTTTACATTTCAAAACTACCGTAGTGAAATACTGCCGCTTTTCCAACATGTTCTTTTCGTAACAAATCTTACTTTCATAGATTAAATCTAGCACAATTGAATTGCAAAGAATAAAAACTTCTATGACTTATATTTTAGTATTTATCTTCTAAAATCGTTTATAGTATTATATCCACATCAAACCTCTGCTTCAGCTTGTTTACGATTGTATAGATATTCCCTAAATTACTCCTCTGATCTTCGGTGATTAACATGTGCATCTGAAGAGCCAGACCTGGCAGTCTCTCAGATGCTCCATCTAAGGTAAAGCTCTTAAGACTTTCACGCGACTTTTGTATGCGGTCGAGGTAGTGCACCCCAGTGTGAAGAAGCATCTGGAGCCGAAAGTTAGGGCATGATGGAGTCAGATCAACTCCGGCAACGGAAAATGACAAAAGCTTAGTCAAGATCTTGTCACCGTCATCTCTAACAGCGACCGGAGGAGTGGTTACACATAGATAGCAGTAAATAGAAGAGTAGAGCCAGTAGTGCATCTCGGTTAAACGGATGCAGATGGATGTGAGCTGCAAAAAGACGGCCGTGTTGATCGGTGACGACTGCTGGGAGCTCTTCCACCGGCTCTCCGCGTTAATGAGCGAAGTGACGAGATTAAGAAATTCGGCGGAGCATTGCAGGACATGAGCAGCCTCCTGCTCTAGGTGAGCAGGGCTGAGGGGAGACAGGGAATTCATCTTGCGAGCAATCTTCAGTTGGAAGTGAGCGACGTGCTCTAAGCAGTTTCCATTGCCTAGCAGTGCCTCTTCTAGATTGAGGGTCACAGGAGTTGGAGAATGGTCCATGGCCAGTCCTGCCAACCCTGACACATCACTCTGGTCGTTTCGGATGTCTCCAAGCGTAAGACTTTGGGGGCACAGCCCGGCCTGTGAAATATCCCACAGCCAATCTCCTTCGACAACATTTGGGTGTTGGTAGGGAGTGGCTGGGAAGGGACTTGGCAGGAGGCCCTCTTGTGGGGAGCAGTCACTGTTTTGCTCACTAGCAAGGTAGATAGCCTCGTCAGTGGGGCTATATGATGGACTGCTAGCGTTTTGGATCCAGGCGTGTTGTTGTTGCCGTCGTCGTTGTCTTTGGTGTAGCTGTTGTTCATCAACGCTCGGAGGGCTGGGTGTCGGTATAGTTCCCATGAAGGCCCCAGTCAGCTTGACGTCAGACTCTACAGTGGTAACCACCGCGGTAGCCACACTGTCTTGTTTGGTCGCATTGTTGGATTTGTTGGTTGGTCTTCCAGGTCTACCAGGCTCACTGTAACGACAGTCAACACCCGCATTTCGACAGCGCCTGCAAATCTTGCCGGAGCTGTCCGTTTTACACTGCATCTTCATTGTGTGACATCGGTCACACGCCGCCCGCTTGGCCTTCATGACTCTGCTAGCGTTGTGACAAGCCAGAGGTGTATGTGTTCGGAGTCGAAAGAGAGCAACTCTGCGTGTCAAGAAAGGTGAATGGCTGCGTGGTGAGCGTAACAATATCATTAGATGGGCGAATGCAACGTCAACGTTGCGTGGGGGATAGCTCAACCCGTGCTGGTGCATATTTACCTTCACCTTGGATGTACATCTATATAAATACGCTTCTACAACCCTATCAGCATTTAATGTTACATCGATAGAACAAAAAGCACGAAATATGCAGCTGTGCTGCATGGTTCGCCCGAAACTTGTGCACCTTTTAGTTTCAAGAACTCTAGCCTGTCAAGACTTCTTAGTAATACGTTAGTGGTCTCGCCGTGCTCTTATAAATGATCTATCAGACATAGAGAGGTAGGAAACGAGCAAGACCTAGCATGATGGTTCCCCAGTTAACCTCCCTTTCCCCAGACCGCGTATCGTCCAAAGAGGACTTCTTTCCATTGATATACATGATACAACATCTCACCGAGACCCGTAGATGGCATGATGGGTTATCTTACGGTGTATAAGCACGTGCTTTTGACACCGACACCGGTCATTTCCTGGTTTGCCAAGTGTCCAGCTTGCTTCTCGCTTCATAGCCCCTAGTTTGTAGTCGTATCTGGGACTCTGGGCCGTTCATCCGACCCGCTCTTACCCTTTCCCACAGTGTCATGGGGGGTTCGATTTACCAGTACCCCATGAAAACCACCGGAATCTTGCAGGGTCGTAAGAAATAACCCGCCGGATGCCTCCTTTTAGGCTGAAACTGCAGGCGGCGACCCTTGCTCCGGGTGCCCGGGCCGTGTGCGAAAAGAGTCAACAACTACGAGATAAGAGGCAGACCCCCACGGGTTGGTCAGAGGAGGGTCGTATTGGGCTCGTTGGCCATGGCGATCACGCATTTTGAGCCTGCTCGGTCAGCACAGGCGGAATTTCAGGTGATTCCAAATTTCCAACCCCGTGGGTTTTCTCCTTCCTCCGTTGCAACGATATTATCTCTACTGCGCCAGCTTACTTTGCCCCCCATTTCATTAGGATTCGTTTTCTTTGCCATGGTTCTGGTTTGGTAGCGCTCCTTTCTTATTTAGTTTCAGAAAGTCACTTTTATCGGTGAAAGCAAACATAATGAAAGCAGAGACAGAGGTCTCCCAAACCGTCGAAGTAGTTGCGAGCGAAGTCGACAGCCGACGAGTTGAGTCGCCTGATGAGTCGCCTGACGAAACGCAGGAGGCAGCCAAGTCTGCAACGCTGACAGGATGGGCTCTCGCCTCTTTGACCGTGGCCTTTATGTCCATTTGCTTCGTTTTAGCACTTGACAATACAATCCTAGGTTTGTCAGACCCCTGTCCAGTGGTGGCAAGAAATGTCGTAGCAGCACCATGCTAACATAATACTGCATCTAGCGACGGCGATACCACAAATCACCAGCGATTTCAACTCCCTCAACGATATCGGATGGTATGGCTCATCCTACCTCATCGCCCAGATGGCGTTACTGCCGACGTGCGGGCGAATCTACGCATGCTACAACATCAAGTGGGTGTACTGCCTTTCGCTTGTCGTCTTCGAGCTCGGCTCCATTATCTCGGCCGTCGCGCCAAACTCGATTGTACTCATCGTCGGGAGAGCCATCACGGGCATGGGTGCTGCGGGTCTAGTGAGCGGGACGACGACGATCCTGGCGTACTCGGTGGCGTTGAAGATGCAGGCGAAGCTGTCGCCCGTTGTTCTAGGCATGTATAACATTGGATCAACAGTAGGACCGCTCGTAGGCGGTGCTATCACGGATAACAAAAGGCTCACTTGGCGCTTTGTTTTCTGGATCAATCTCCGTAAGGACTCTTCCCTCCCCAGCAAAAGCAATTCCCCCCTGCCATTGACTCATCAAATTAACCGTTCGTTAGCTTTCGGGGCGGTGGGTTTGGCCCTTGTATGGTTCACGCTTGGCAAACCCCCACCTGCAGTCAAGGGTGGCCTCCCATGGACTCAGAAGATGCGTCACCTTGACATCCCGGGAGCTATTCTTCTCCTTGGTGCCACCGTCTGCCTGAACTTGGCTCTGCAGTGGGGTGGTATCGTTTACCCATGGTCAGATTCGCGGGTTTATGGTTGTCTCATCGGACTTGCTTTAATTCTGCTTGCCTTTCTGGGGATGCAGTACTTTGGAAAGGAAAAGTTCGTTCCCCTTTTGCGTGACAACGGATTTTGACATGGATTGTGCTAACCTGACTTCCTTACTCACTGCAGTGCGACTATCCCTCTACACCTATTCGTAAATCGCACGGCATGGGCTTCATTTGGGTTTATGATGTTGGTTCAGACCGCTATAGTTTTGCAGTCGTACTTTTGGCCTATATATTTTCAGTCGGTCCGGGGTGATAGTGCGAGAGACTCTGGGGTCAAGCTCCTTCCGCTCGTCATCTCCAACAGCCTTGGCATGCTCGCCGGAGGCTGGACTGCCTCGAAGACCCGGCATTATGTACCGTTAATGTGGATAGGAGCTCCACTCCTCGCCGTCGGCGGCGGCCTGTACCAGCTCATGCAGAAGGATACTCCCGCTGGTCCCTGGATCGGTTATCAGATAATCTCGGGTGCCAGCTACGGCATGTGCAGCCAGATGCCCATCCTGGCGGTCCAGGTCGTCCTAGCCAAGGCTGACATCCCCACGGGCCTCGTGGTGGTTATGTTCTTCCAGATGCTGGGAGGTGCCCTGGCACCCGCTGTTGGGCAGAATCTCCTGACTGACAAGCTCCTTCGGATCTTGAACGGTTTGCCGGGAGTCGACGGGGCGGCGGTGGTGGCAGCCGGTGGGAAGGGGTTCACTGAAATTATTCCCCCAGAGTTGATGGACGTGGTCCTAGATGCGTACAACTCGGCGTTGAAGAACGTGTTCTGGGTAGGCCTTGCCACGCCGGCTGCTGCTTGGCTCTTCAGTTGGATGATGGAGTGGCGTCAATTGCCGGACTCCGATGCCGCGCCGATGGACGCTCATCAAGAGGAAAGTTCTTTGGAAGAAAAAGCGACCAACAAGGAGGAGACTACCACATCTTGATAATGGAGTTAGAAAAAGATATCACTTATCCGTTAGTTCCGCGAATATAAAAAAGTGTCGGCATTTCTTACTAGCTTAAAAGCTGTATTATAAAACGGGGGCGAGGCTTTTTATCAGATTAGCTACACAGACCTTTTTACACTATCTCGCGTTATAACAAGCGGTGGCTACAAGCTGGCCCTAGTAATTATCTATGGCGATACCTTATATGTAGGAACCTTACTTAGCTGACTCATGTTTTGATAAAATCTTGCTGTCAACCTGACATTTCGGTCTGGTGTTAAGCCGCACGATTAATATACAGCCGTACTAGTTGACTTGTCGTGGTCTAGTCTAGCTCTCTACTGTTTGAGATGAATATCCATTGCTATCAACTCGGCCTGATGAGGTGGGGGTAGATAGGTTGGGATGACTACCTATAGCGATAGGTTGAGGAGACTTTGAAGGTTGTATTGGTAACACGGCCTTTCCCGCCAATCTCATAGTTCCTAGCAAGTCTACGTAAAACGGAAGAGAAAGAGAATAGAGTTTAATAAAAATAAAGCTGCCAGGGCCCGACAACTTAATACAATGAATACGAAAGCTTGAAAATATAGCCTTTCCTAGTCCGCCCAAGATATAGTTATACAGCAGGAAGATTCTATGAACCTTCGTACGGATGACTCACTTACCGTCAGAACAGCAGCTCATCGAATGACTATTAAAGCTATCTCCTTCACCTGGCTTCTTACACGCCAATTCACATACTCCAAAACACCACATGACACGAATGGAGGAAGAGTTAGAGGAGATAGCATTAATAGAAATGCTTTTAAGCTTTAAAAACACAGTGAAAGGCAAGTCTACGTAACTTAAGTAATATATGCCAGCTACCTGTACCCCTCAAGTTTCCAGCACTTTGACATCCGCCGCCCTTGTTAGCCAATTGTCGTTATTCATCGTGACATAGACATATAAGTCGACAAGGGGACCAATGAGATCCATGAGCAGAAATGCCCAGACTTGGCGCACGCAGTACGGGTACTTAACAAGGAATGCTTTATACCTAGGGACATAGCCGTCCCAACCAAAAGCCATCCAGGCCAGAAAGGCGTACCTGTTGCAAAGGTCAGCCAGGGACTAATAAACAGCAGGGCCTGTGGAGCAAAGGAGAGGGAAGGAGGAGGACTCACGCAATGATGGGAGCGGTAAGTAGTGTTTGGATCCACGCCCAAAGATACGCGAGAGCCCAAAGCGGTCTAAGGAGACGTTCAATCATCTTCCAGGTTGTATATGGGTGCCTCCTACGATCACCAGTGTTAGTGGAGGGTATCTCGTAGCAAGCGACGTCTGCGCACGAGAGAAATGTTTTCTTACTGCATCATCTTCCAACAGCCGGGGTACACGAAGATGTACCCCAAGAAAGTGCGAAAGTTTCCTCGGTCCCAGCGCAGGATCTGCCACACAAACCTGTGATTCTGTGGTATGTTGGTCGTAACTTCGGCCTCGGGCACATTTTGGATAGAAACCTTCCATCCACGATCAAACACCCATCCAGTGAGTACGACATCATCGGCCGTATTGACTACCCTGCGGCCGATGGCCTCGTACGTGTATGAATTTGCAAAGCTGGGATCCTGGAGGATACTTGTGCGGATGAAAAGTGTCCGCGCCGACAAACACCAGCACCCGCCGTCTGCCGCGTAGTGTACTTCCCGGGAGCCTTTCCATTGGCAGAGGTCGAAGGCAGAGGTTGCCTCCCACGGGGTGATGATGCTGGGGTCTCGACGTTCAAGCGGGATTTCAGCACTACAACCATGACTGATCAGTCTATAGTCCCCAGTCAATATAAAGAGACTGGAGGATGATGGCTGACCTCTGTATACCTGCCACAGCGCCAATCTCGTCTTGCTCAAAGGGGGCCAAGAGGTAGGGTACGACACCATCAGCTCGCCAGAAGACATCGTCATCTACCAGCGCTAATATGTCACCTTTGGCAGCTTCAACGCCTACCACTAGTTGGATACGCTTGTTCGCCACGGGTGAGCATAGGATTGAAATCTTATGTGCATCGTCTTTGAGCGGCTCGATCAGCTTGTTTATGTTTTCTATGTTTCGTTCGACGGTCACGATGATAACCTCACGGGGCCTGGACTGAAGCCAGAGGCGCATGCACTCGGTAAATGTCGATTCCGTGTCAATGGTCGGGACAATGATACTTTGAGAATAGGTTTGAGCGCTAATCATACAATGAATGTATACACAAAGCAGAGGTGTGTCTCAGGGGATACTTACCTTATGTCCTTATTGCTATAGGTTGCCTTTTCCGGCAAAGGTGAGGGTTTATACTTTTTGGCGTAGTGGGATATAAGAGCTCTGTCGTAGAGACTCCACGTCCTGTTCCACCTCGTGGGTTACTTGATGATCTACATACAATGGGATGTAGCAAAATAAGGCTTACCAGAGTGCTCCTAGAGCTAAAGCCATCTCGTCTGCTAAGGAAGAAAATGTTAAAGTACAGTCTGATCTGTTAAGCGACAGTTGGGAGTCGAGTTGTGTCTTATTAGCCCTTGAATAGCTCCTGGTTGCGAACTTGAGAAAACAAAGTGTACTTATACCCTGAGAGGGACCCAGCGGGACTATCACTACTCCCTTAATATCCCCTTGGGAGATATCTCATACTACCCAGATCTAGCTCCACAAGCTTCGAATTCTTTAGAACTGTCTGATCGCCTCCTAACACTCCTTCTCGCAAGCTAGCAACTCGGCCTCCCGAACTCCGGAACTTCGGGAAAAGGGAAGCTCGAAAAGCATGTAGTTGGCAACCCTTGCTGGAAAGGTAAGCCTAGATGGCCAGGGCCATGACACCTGGTTCGGCGGGTTATGGACATGGAAGAAAACCCTTATCCCCGGTGGGATTCTTGTACCTGGTCCGGTGGTTTTTCCACCCTTGCAGCTCGCAGGTGAGTTAGGAAGGAAACACCGCAAACAAGGGGGACCTGCTCTTGAGCGGCGCAGCACTATGATGTAGGGAGGATCAGAACCTATGGTGTATGCGATATGTGAATGTGTGGACGGACAAAACCAGATGGAAGTAGACGATATCCGCCGGTATAAGCGCTCCTCGTTGTCGAAGGATTCTGCAGCGACCCTTGCTATGGGTTTGAGATACGACATATGTGTCTATCGTGCGATTTTATGAGCCACTTCCGTTTCTGGTCAAAACTACCCCTCTAAGGCCCCTGTCTCGGGTTGCGGACAAAAAATACCCCTCTTGGACCCTTGTTTATCAGAGGCCGAAGGCATGATAGATTTAGTTAGACAAGTGGTTGAGTTCGCGATATAGTGAACAATGGCATCGAGAAGAAGATATATATGTATATTAACTGGAGATATATGTGGAATAATCTCTAGATTATAGTCAGCTCTACTCCTTGAACACGTCTTGAAGTTTCAACATCTTCATATTTGGTTCTGAACACCACTCCTATACTTCCCCGTGCTGTGCTCACCATTCTCCTCCTGCCTCGCCTAGTCATGTCTCCCACCCAAACTCCGATTGCCATAGTCGGCGTCGGCTGTCGACTCCCTGGAGGAGCCAACAACCTTACAAATCTATGGTCCCTCCTCTCGGAAGGCCGCAGCGGCCATGTGAAAGTACCCAAAGAGCGCTGGAACGCTGATGAATGGTACGACGCATATCCTGAGGCAAGATCTTCGCTTCGTGCACGCCACGGCTACTTCATCCAGGACGACATCTCCCACTTTGACGCCAAGTTCTTTGGCATCCCGAGCTCTGAGGCGAGCAGTATGGATCCACAGCAGCGCCTCTTTCTGATGACGACATACGAGGCGCTTGAGGACGCGGCCATTCCACTCGAGACGCTGCGTGGGTCCAACACGGGCGTCTTTGCGGCCATCTTTGAGAGGAGCTATGATCGCATGGGGTTCAAAGACCTGGCAACCATTAGTAGAACACACATGAACGGAGTGGGAGAAGCCAGTGAGTTCCCTCGTTCTCCTTATTCCTCCATTCACGGACACACGCAAGGCGAGATAAATAGATGGAAAAAATTCACTCTCGTGCTATATTGAGGCCACTGCTACTCACGAAAAAAAAAACTACTAACCTCTAACCACTAGTTCTATCGAATAGAATTTCATATGTCTTTGATTTGAAAGGTCCAAGTCTAACTATCGACACTGGCTGCGTAAGAGCCCCATTTCCCCAATCAGGAGACGTCTATCATGCTAAACAAACACTCTACAGTCTGGCAGTCTGGTCGCTCTCCACCAGGCATGCCAAAGCCTGAAACTAGGAGAGACAGATCTTGCCCTGGTTGGCGGATCGCAGCTGCTCATCACACCTGACTTGCTCTCGATTAGTAAGTATCAACCTCCTTCACGAATAGATTCAGCCCCCCTTGTTAGCATTAGCTCGCTGACAATTCATTTTAGTGAGCACTGTGGGCATGCTCAATCCTGACGGCAAGTCCTACGCTTTCGACTCGCGAGGAGAAGGATACGGGCGCGCTGAAGGCGTGGCAACTATTGTCCTCAAGCGATTAGATCGCGCCCTCCAAGATGGGTACGTCTCTTAAAGCTTCTAAAGGCGGTGGCGAGGTTGCGAAATAAAACCTAATTAATACAAAAAACAGTGATCAAGTTCATGCCATCATTGCCAACAGTGGCGTCAACCAAGATGGCAAAACAATCGGCCTCAACACTCCAAATGGCGATGCACAGGCTGACTTGACATGGCGTGTCTACCGTGAAGCTGGATTAAACCCTCTGGATACCTCATTCGTCGAGGCCCACGGAACGGTGCGTCTCAGCGTCGGCACTCCCTCTCATCGTACATCAAAGCTAACCATGTTCGATAGGGAACACAAGTAGGAGATAAAGAAGAGATGGGGTGTATCTCTAGAGTTTTCACAGACCCTTCTAGGCCAGATGATGTCTACGTCGGCTCTGTCAAGACTAACCTCGGCCATCTCGAGGCCACCTCGGGCCTGGCCGGCCTGCTCAAAGCCCTTCTCGTGCTCAAGCATGGACAGATCCCCCCTAACCTCAATTTTGACAAGCCAAAGTCGTCTCTAAATCTCTATGAGAAAAAGGTCAAGGTATGTTTAGAGTCAATTTCTTCCTGAAGGAGACGAGTTCCTAGCTTATAATCCTGGCTAGATCCCTGTGCACCTTACTCCTCTTCCCAAGCCTCGTAACGGGGAACCGACCAGAGTGTCTCTTAACTCGTTTGGCTATGGAGGTACAAACTGTCACGTTATTCTTGAGGATCCTTATCCAGAGAAGAAGAATAAGGGTGTCAACGGCGCCAACGGAGTCAAGACGAACGGCACCAATGGAACCAATGGAACCAATGGAACCAATGGGATAACTACAAATGGACATAACGGGGCTACAAATGGCCACAATGGTGTCGACAGCAACGGAGCCAATGGCTCGCCGACCAACGGCAAAAAGGATGCAGAGTCCTTCTCTCCAGAACTCATTCTTGTAAGCGCATCGACCGAGAAAGCCCTGTCGTCACGCGCCCAGGACATCGTCGACTGGATCAAGTCCCAACATAATTTCACCCCGGAGACTTTGAAAAGCCTGTCTTACACCCTCGGTGCTCACAGGTCGACCTTGTCATACAGGAGAGCCATTGTGACCTCGAGCGCTGAGGATCTCGTGGCGAAGCTCGATCAGAAAGGCTCCCCGAAAAGGAGCGTGTCGCTAGCTCCGTTAACGTTTGTCTTCTCTGGCCAGGGCGCCCAGTGGCATGCCATGGGTCTAGAGCTATTCAGCGCTTCGTCTGTATTCCGCTCGAGCATGACGGCCATGGACGACGTGCTGCGTGGTCAAGGTTGTCAATGGAGTCTCGCCGAAGAGCTGTCGAGATCAGCCAAGGAGTCGCGAGTTGGCGAAGCCGAGATTGCTCAGCCCTGCACAACGGCCATCCAAGTTGCACTCGTGGATCTTCTGGAAAGCTTTTTGATTAGGCCCGCGCGGGTCGTCGGTCACAGTTCTGGCGAAATCGGCGCTGCGTATGCCGCGGGCGCCTTGACTCGCGAGAACGCTATTCTTGCAGCCTACCATCGCGGTCTGTCATCCCGCAAAGCGAAGAAGCTAGCCGACGTTCCGGGGACCATGATGGCTGTCAGCCTTTCAGAGACAGAAGCAAGAGAGCATATCGAGAAGCTGACCAGTGGTAAAGCGGTCGTCGCATGTGTCAACAGCCCGAGCAGTCAGACCATCTCGGGCGATGAAGAAGCCATTGACGAGCTCAAGTCGTTACTCGACAAGCAGGGGGTTTTTGCCCGTAAGCTCAAGGTTGACACGGCCTACCATTCGCATCATATGCAGCGTGTCGCCGAGGACTACAAGGCGGCCATCAGCAGCATCGAGTCGCGTCCAGTCAGGGACGGTGTCACCTTTTACTCGAGTGTCACCGGCACTGTTAAGACAGGCGGATTCGATGCTGAGTATTGGACGCGAAACCTAGTCTCGCAAGTGAAATTCAGCCAGGCACTCAGCCTCCTCCGTGACAGCCAGTCCGAGGAAGACTCCAACGCGGACGTAACGGTCTTCATCGAAATTGGCCCTCACTCAGCCCTGGCAGGCCCAGCGCGTCAGACCCTTACAGACAAGCCCAAGGTCGAGTACCTCTCTCCTCTGGTTCGTAATACCAATGCCTTGCAGTCGGTCTTGGCATTCGTGGGCAAACTGTTTGAGCTTGGCTTAGAGGAAGTGGACATCAAGGCGGTCCTTGCCAGGAGCGGCGAGGCGAGACCCTCCCTGATCAGAGATTTAAAGCCATACCCTTGGGATCTGGCGCCGTATTGGAACGAGTCTCGACTCAGCAAGGCCCATCGGTTCCGCCCTTTTAGTCACCACGATCTCCTTGGCCTCTTTGACCCGGCCAGCTCCGTTGACGAGCCGCGCTGGAGGTATTTTCTCAACTTAGACGACTTCCCATGGATTCGCGACCACGTCATCGAGGATTTCGTTATCTACCCCGGCGCTGGCTATCTAACCATGGCAATTGAGGGCATTAGGCAGCTTCTGCAGCTGAGAGGCTCTCGGAAGTCTATTACCAAGTACATCATCCGTGATGTCGACGTGTCCAAGGCCCTCGTTCTCAGTGCCCCTGACGGCAGCAGCCCTGGGGAGTTTGAAGTGCAGCTGACAATGTTCGCCGTCAACAAGGAGGATAACAGTCCCTGGCAATCCTTCTCTATCCGCTCATACCAGCCGGATGGCTCATTGGCAGAACACTGTACTGGCGAGATTATGGTCGAGCAAGAGGAGGATGTTGTTGAACGAGATGAAGAGGCGGGTAACATAGAAGAGGATCTGCGTCGCGAGGAGGCCGTTCAGTTCCTCGAAGCAGCCCGAGGTTACGTCGACACGGAAATGACCCAGTCCGAGTTTTACAATTTTATCGGAGCGAGCGGTAATCAGTTTGGCGGTGCCTTCACCTTGCT